CATTAAACACTGTGTACTGTATATAAGACACTATGAAACAGGCAAAGTCCCTTCTCTCTTGGAGGGCTTGTATATTTATGTTACTTAATAAAGCCCTCATGTCCTTCATTTTCCCATTGCTCAAAAGATTCGCTACTGTAAATTTAAGCCATGTATATTCCTACAGCCAGGTCTTAAAGGAAATAAGAGCTATAAAATGAGATTTCAGGACAGGCACAGTGGCTCATGCCTGTAAATCCCAACACTTTGGGAGGCCAAGGCAGGCAGACTGCCTGAACTCAAGAGTTTGTGACCAGCATGGGCAACACGGTGAAACCCAATCTCTACTAAAATACAAAAAATTAGCCAAGTGTGGCAGCATGCACATGTAGTCCCAGCTACTTGGGAGGCTGAGGCAGAATTGCTTGAACCCAGGAGGCAGAGGTTGCAGAGAGATTGTACCACTGCACTCCAGCCTGGGCAACAGAACGAGACTCCGCCGCAAAAAAATAAAATAAGACTTCAAAATGATGTCTACCTTCCTTGATGTCAACTAATTGCATGATTTAACTCCATTTATACCTCCTTTCTTCTACATGCAATAAAGAATCCCGCTTTGAAATCTTTTCCTTATTTTTAATATTTAAAGGAAATTTAAACATTTCTCCTTTAACACACTTAAAGGATGTTTTGCTTATGGACAAAGTGCATCTTAAAAATATACAGTTAGTAAGAGAAGCACAACAACTAAGATGTGGTACAGAAAGGATAACAGGTAAATATATCAGAATATACAGGTGGACATCACCATAAAGTTTCTAAGTCCTCTATTTTAAAATATATTTCAATGTATATATTTAGATTATTTTCAGCTATTAAGGGATCTACATATTTGAGGTGAAAAAAGTATTTTCCATTGCTATTTAAGCTGGGTTTTACTAGGAATGTCTAAAAACCATTTGAAGCCTTGATAACTTTTATTATAAGGTCTTAGTCTATTTAACTGTTACTATCTTTGATTTCAATGTCCTACCACCTGCAGAGTATGAATTCTAGGAACATGCATATGTTAAGAAAGTCTGAAGCAACTAGTAGAATGTATGTTTAATAAAAGTCAATTAAGACCTTCTACAGGCAGGGTGACAACTTGCTAAGAAACTGTGATAAAGACAGATCAGCTCCAACAAAGCAAAATAGAAACTTAACTCTCATTAACTTTGAAATTAATGCTGCAAAACAGAAACTACCTTCTGGCTAATTGGCCTAACAGTTTCATGATCCACAAATGTTTCTCTACAGAAATAGTCAAGAAAATTCTTAGCAGAGAACATGATACTACATTCTCCTGTTTTCCTGCCATGTCACTCACTCCTCAATCTCCTAGGCTGTCTCCTCCTCACCCTCCCCACCTAGGTATGCTAGAATGGCCCCAGTGCTCAATCATTCAGTGTCCTCTCTTTTCTATCTAAACTCAACCCTTAAGTGATTTCATCTAATTTCATGGCTTTAAATTTATACCTACAGTGCAGATCTTCTCAAGAGATGTCTTGTCTATGTGACATCTCCATCTGAATGTCTAATGGACACATCAAACTTAGTATGTCCAAATCTGAACTGAACCCCAGCCTGATTCTCCATCAGTCTTCCTATTTCAGGAGAGAAGCTTACAGTTGTTCAGTCCAAAAATCTTGGAGTCATCTTTGATCACTTTCTTTGAACTATATTCATAGATATCCTAAATATCCATACAAGTTATCAACAAACATTGTTGGTTCTACCTTCAACATCTATCTAGAATGAGTCCTTCCTGACACTTCACCAAGCCAACAGCATCTCTTACCTTAAATACTTTTTTTTTCCCAGACAGAGTCTCCCTCTATTACCTAGGCTGGAGTGCAGTGGGGTGACCTCAGCTTACCGCAACCTCCACCTTCTGGGTTCAAGCGACTCTCCTGCTTCAGCCTTCAAGTAACTGTGGTGGCACGTGCCACCACACCTGGCTAATTTTTGTATTTTTAGTAGAGATGAGATTTCACCATATTGGCCAGGCTGATCTTAGACTCCTGACCTCAAGAGATCCACCTGCCTTAGCCTTCCAAAGTGCTAGGATTACAAGGGTGAGCTACGGCGCCCAGCCTCTCACCTCAAATACTAAAAGAGTTCCCTAACTTGTCTCTTGTCTCTACCCCTCCCCTTTTATAGTCAACCCAACATGGCAGCCACAATAGCTTTTAGAAGGTATATCAGATCTTGTCATTACTCTGCCCAAAACCTTCCAGTGCTTTCCCATCTCAGAGTTAAAAGCCTAACTACTGCATGAGGCCCTATACAATCTCCCCTGCCCTTTCTCTTTGATCTTACCTACTACTCTCCCTCTCCCTCAGCTCCAGCCATACTGGACTCCTTGCTGTTACCAGCACAAACTAGGGACTGTCCCACTCAGGGTGTTTGCACCTGCTATTTCTTCAGGGGTGGAAAAAAAGAATGTGTTTTGTCACCTGCTGTCACAGCCTGCAATGCTGTGCCCCTAGGTGATCCATTTGGCCTACTTCCTCATCTCCTTCAAGGCTCTGTTCAAATGCCACCCTCCCTGTGAGGCCTTCCATAACCATCTTATTTAAAATCACAACCCCACCATCCCACCACTCTGCTGGCATGTCCCTAAATCCACTTCCCCACTTTATTTTTCCTCATAGCACTTATTAACATCTGGAGAACTATATACAGTAGGCAATCTATGTGGAATCTGCATCCACAAATTCAACCAAGCACAGATTGAAAATGTAGTTAGGCCTACAATGGTTGTATCTGTACTGAACATGTACAGACTTTTTTCTTGTCATTATTTCCTAAACAATACAGTATAACAACTATTTACATAACATTACAATGTAATAGGTATTATAAGTAACCTAAAGATGACAAAGTATACAGGAAAATGTTCATATGTTATATACAAATACAACACCATTTTATTGTAAGAGACTTGAGCATCCAAGGATTTTGGTGTGGGGGACACTCTAAAATCCATCCCCCATGGATATGGGGGGTATAACTGTATTTTCATTATCTGTTTACACTAGAATGTATGCTCCATGATGGCAGGGATTTCTGACTGCTTTCTTCACAGCTGTCCCCAATGCCTAAAAAACAGACTACAGATAGATGCTTTCAAATCCATTTGTTGGATGAATGATACTGTAATACTACCAGGCAAAATACATTATTACCTGAATACATTAAATATTATGAGAAGCAGAAATCCCAATCACCCACATTCACACAGTTTTGCAAAAAGAGACATCATAGTTTGTTTCTTAAAAATGCATTAAAATCTAATTTTTGCTTTTGTTAACGTCATTTGCACTGTGCCTAAAGAGTCCTAGGTCACATCTAAAAGGTACTGTTTTAGCTTCAGTAAGAAAATGAAGAAAAAAATACAGGCTTTTTTCCTTTCATCAGTCATCACTGACAGAAGGCCTCCAAGTGACCCTGGTGCCACAAATGTTCAGGATGTTTAGGGAATAAAGGAGTCTAAAAAATAAGAATATCCCTTCACCAATCTCAAGAGAGGAATGTCTCCAAATCTTTCTGCAGACTTTTTCTTCACATCCTTTAACAATGCCATTCTTAACATGTACATGAAATCGTAGTTGAAGAAACAATGTGATTACACAATTACACATACAGAAAAACTTGGTACCCTATTCTCTCCAAATTTTTAACTAAAACTAGACTTACAATTTTTGTTGAAAATGTTTTGTGCTTCTACCTCCAAAGAATGAGAAAAAAAAAAAATGTTTTCCTGTGAAGCTAAGAAAAAGCTAAGACGTAGGTTGGTGGGGACTGTTATTTTAAGGCTTAACAGTTTTGTTTACTATTGTTTATTATTTAATGTATTCTTCCCAGCTCCCCCCACCCCCACCAAAGGGAAAGTGAAAAATTCACGTTGGTGCAATCAATAAGGAATTATTGGTCCAAAGGAAGTTGTTCTGAAAGGCTATGACCTAAGTCTTTAGCACTGACACAAAGTTCAGGCAGTAGATGGCACTTGTCTCACCCATTTAACGACAACAACAAATCAAGATTCAGATCCCGAGAGCAGAAAGGAACAGGCGTGAAAAATGAAATCAGCGGTTTCTTCCCTGCCTGCTGCCCCCCCATTCCCCGCATCGCCCTTTAACGGCCCCTTTTCCTGGCGTCGTTTCCCCAGCATAGCCCCGCACTGCGCCATCAAACGAGTCAAGAGAAGGGACCCGTGCCCCTCCGAGAAAACCAGGCACTAACACACGGTGCACCCAACTGAGTTTAAACTCGGGAACAGTGTAGGCAGTGTCAACATAGCGCGGTGCTAGGTCCCGAGCGTCCAAAGGTCCCCGCCAGCTCCCCAGACGCAACCAAATCCACAGGATTCCAAAAGGTGACTTGGCCGGCATCGCAGAGCCGGAGGCGGCGCAGAGGAGAGTCCAGGATGAAGCCCGACCGGCCCCAGCCAGCCCCGCGCACGCTCGCACTGCTACCCGCGCCTCCGCGGATGCTACCCGCGGCTGGAGCCGAGCCGGGTCCGACTCCCCCTCCCCCGAAGAGGCCAGAGCGCGGCGTCACGTGCGGGGCCGAAACTTCGCGGCCCGGGCGGGGAGGCAGGCGGGTAAGAGACAGGCGCCGCGGCCGGGTGGCAGCCCGCACGCCCGGTGAGTCACAGGCCGCCTCCGCGTGCGACTACGGGCAAAGGGGCCGGCGTCCCAGGCGGGGGCCGTGCCCTTGGGGCCACCCCCGCGCCCGTTATTAATAACTCTGCGCCCGGAGGCGAAAGCCCCGGGTGGGCGCAGCCGCACAGCCCGCATGCGGAATAAATAACAATGTCATTAAATCGCGCCCGAGCGCCCGTTCGGCCAGAGAGCGACGGGGGGGCGCCGCCGGGAGCTGACTTTGTCTGGAGCCCGCACCCCGCCTCCCGCGCGTCCCCGCAGCGTCCCCCGCGCCCCTGAAGGGACCCCGCGCCGCTGCAGCTCTGGCCTTACCCGCCAGCTCGTCAGGCTCCAGCCCGCTGTCCGCGTCGATCCCGCACAGCACGAAGTAGTGCGCGAAGCGGCAGGCGGCCGGGGAGGAGCCCGAGCCAGGGCCAGGCGTCGCGCCGCTCCCGCTCATCCCGGCCGCGCTGCTGCAGTTGCCGCCACCGCCGCCGCCCGAAACGGCTTTCTGTGGAGGCTGCCGCCACCGCTCCGGCTGCGGTCTCTGCTCCCGCTGCGGTCTCTGCTCCCGCCCTAGGGCGACACCGGCGCGCCCATAGCCGCGCAGCTGCCGCTCACCGCCGCAGCCTGCCTCCTCTCTCCGAGCGGGGGAAGCGGCCGCGGGCTCGCGCGCGGCGGGTCCAGAGCCCGACCAGGTGGGGGAGGGGCGCCGGGGGAGTGTCGGCCTGAGAGGCCCGCGCCGCCGCAGCTGCGCTCGCGAGCTGAGAACCGCCGCGTCTGGCGCCCGCGGGTCAGCTGAGCGGCGCTCGGGTTGTGGGAGCGCAGGGCGGGCGGGGGCGCCGAGGTTCGGCGCGTGCGATGGCGAGGGGTGGGGGGCGCGCTCGCGAAGCGCGGGAGCGCGCGCTTCTGCCGGGAGCGCGCACCCAGCGGGCATGGAGGCCAATCCTGATGCGGGGCCGCCTTGGTGCCCGCCGGCCCCGGCTGCGGCTTCGAGGGCGATCCTGCACACACCCCCTCCTCGCCCTGGCCAGCCGATAAGAGGGCTAGCCTCAGTCTAGGGAACAGTCTTCTAAAGGGGATGTAACCCATCCTAATTTTTCTTAATGCAGCTTTGGGGAAGGTGAACAGCCGCTCTGAGATCATTTCGCATAACGGTCTGAACCATCGTCTTTTAAACTGTGACCTGTGCCGGGGGTGCCTGTCTCACTTAAGGCCCTTCCTTCCCGCAGCCCTCGCCCCATTTACAGGCCATCCATCCTCAGTGACTTGGTGACAAGTCAACGATGAGGGGGAAAAACACAATACAACTCAATAGCCACAAAGCCTTGAGACTTCTAGGAGTGCAGTCAGCAACCCCCGCCTTCTGTCATTTATCATGACATTTTCCAGGTCAGTGTAAACAGCCAAGGCGCTCCAGTTCCACAGCCCTGGGCCCATCCGATGTTATTGGCTCTCCCCACTGGTATAATCGGAGGCTAACGCAACAGGAATTAGACCCTGAACTCTGCTCGTCAGAAGGGCACAGCTTTCTTGCCCTGTTCAGCTCTATTTTTTTCTTTTTACATTTTTTTTTTTTTTTGCTTCTTTGGAAGGAGCTCGACAACCCTTTCTTTCTTTCTTTTTTTTTTTTTTTTAAAGAAAACTGGCCCGGGCGCGGTGGCTCACGCCTGTAATCCCAGCACTTTGGGAGGCCGAGGCAGGTGGATCACGAGGTCAAGAGATCGAGACCATCCTGGTCAACATGGTGAAACCCTGTCTCTACTAAAAATACAAAAAATTAGCTGGGCATGGTGGCGCATGCCTGTAATCCCAGCTACTCAGGAGGCTGAGGCAGTAGAATTGCCTGAACCCAGGAGGCGGAGGTTGCGGTGAGCCGAGATGGGGCCATTGCACTCCAGGCTGGGTAACAAGAGCGAAACTCCGTCTCAAAAAAAAAGAAAGAAAGAAAGAAAACTGGCTGGGCTCAGTGGCTCACACCTGTAAGCCCAACACTGGAGAGCCCAGGTGGGAAGATTACAGGAGATCAGGAGTTCAAGACCAGCCTGGGCAATATATGGAGACTCTGTCTCCATCTAAGCAAATATAAAATTTATTTATTTAATTTTTTTTTGGTGGGGCAAGGACTCTAGCTCTGTCACCAGGCTGGAGTGCAGCGGTGCAACCTCAGCTCGCTGCAACCTCACAGTCGTGGGTTCAAGGGATTCTCCTGTTTCAGCCTCCCACATAGCTGGAATTGCAGATCCGCACTATCACGCCCAGCTAATTTTTGTATTTTTAGTAGAGATGGGGTTTCACCATGCTGGCCAGGATGGTCTCTATCTCCTGACCTCGTGATCCACCCACCTCCGCCTCCCAAAGTGCTGGGATTACAGGCGTGAGCCTCTGCACCTGGCCTAAAATTTTTTTTGAGAGACAGGGTCTCACTATATGGCCCAGGCTGCTCTGAAACTCCTGGGCTCAAGCGATCCTCCTGCCTTGGATTCCCAAAGTGCTGGGATTACAGGCATGAGCTAGTGCCCTGGCCATGTAAGTAAAAATAAAACTTAAAAAATAGAAAACTGAATCTAGTTCATCTCCACATCTCCTTCTACACCACTCCCTGGTTTCTTCTTTGGGGATCTGGGGTATCAACCACTGATAATATACACAAGCAAACCTTCCAGAGAGGTTGTCTGAAAGAACCTCAATTATTTGACTGAATAATGTTCTTCTTGGAAGATACATGTACATGCATACCATCATTTAATGTATCTTGTGTCTTCACTTTCTCTCTCTCTTCAGTTTTGAAATAGAAGAGGCTGGCCGTGGTGGCTCAGGCCTGTAATCCCAGCACTTTGAGAGACCAGGGTAGAAGGAACACTTGAGTCCAGGAATTCAAGACCAGCCTGGCCAACATAGTGAGACCTTGTCTCTGTAAAAGATAAAATGAAGCAGGGTGCAATGGCTTAAGCCTGTAATCCCAGCACTTTGGGACACCAAGGTGAGAGAATCAGTTGAGGTCAGGAGTTCAAGACCAGCCTGGCCTAGTTTTTAGTGAAACTCCATCTCTACTAAAAAAATAAATAAATAATTTTTAATTAATCAATAAAATAAAATATAAGAAGAATCAGAAAATCAGAGTGAGCCACAGTCTGGATAATTGACCTTTCGCTCCTATTGCACCCTGTATTTCTTCAAAACACATGTAATGGCTTTTCTGTGTCTTCTTAGCTGTGCTGTAAACTCCACAGAGCCAGAGTTGGACTCTGTGGTTCTTTGCTTTTCTGGTGTCTAGCAAAACTCTGGTCCCACCTGCCCCTCAATTTATATTTGAGTGATGAAACGATGGTTATCTAGATAACAACAGGTTGTTGATGCTACTAGGAAAATATACAACCTTTAACATCTGTAACTTTTTTTTTTTTTTTTTTGAGACGGAGTTTCGCTCTTGTTACTCAGGCTGGAGTGCAATGGTGCCATCTCGGCTCACCGCAACCTCCGCCTCCTGGGTTCAGGCAATTCTCCTGACTCACCCTCCTGAGTAGCTGGGATTACAGGTATGCGCCACCATGCCCAGCTAATTTTTTGTATTTTTAGTAGAGACGGGGTTTCACCATGTTGACCAGGATGGTCTCGATCTCTTGACCTCGTGATCCACCCGCCTTGGCCTCCCAAAGTGCTGGGATTACAGGCATGAGCCACCGAACATCTGTAACATTTAAAAAAAAAAAAAAAGCCCCAGGGCAGGCATGGTGACTCACGCCTGTAATCCCAGCACTTTGGGAGGCCAAGGGGAGAGGGAGCAGATCACCTGAGGTCAGGAGTTCAAGACCAGACTGGCCAACATGGTGAAACCCTGTCTCTACTAAAAATACAAAAATTTGCCAGGTATGGTGGCAAGCACCTGTAGTGCCAGCTACTCGGGAGGCTGAGGCAGGAGAATGGCTTGAACCCAGGAGGCAGATGTTGTAGTGAGCCAAGATCACATCACTGCACTCCAACCTGGGCAGCAGAGAAAGACTCCATCTCAAAAGAAAACAAACAAGCAAAAACAAAAGCAAAGAACTTGGTCAAAAACTCAGAATTGTTCCTTTCCACAGAAATCTTTAATAAAAGAAAAAGATGCATACGACCTGAAGAGAAACGAGTGTATGTAACCTGATTGTGAATATGTTAATTACTTTTATACAATATTGCTCTTCCTCATGTAGACAGTACTGAAATGCACAAAATGTCACTAGTAAGGAAGGAAGTGCCTGGCTACCTGTTTCTCCTATCTTTGGCGGTAGCTTCTTACAGAATGTTAGATTCCAAGCTAATCAAACAAACAGTAAAAAAATGATTTACTGTTTGCACTAGCCAAGAAACATGTTATTTAAAAAAATTTTTTTTGAACAGTAACTGATTTATGAGCTTGTACGCCCCACATTAATAGTTTTAAGGTGAAAGAAAAAAAAACTAAAAGAGAAAAAAAACAAAAAAAAATTTTTAAGGTGAAAAAAATTGAATCCCTAACTAACAATGCATGCAATTAAAATATACTAATCTCATAAAAATAGAATTCCTAAACTCTTTTCTAAAGCTTTTAAGAGAATAGTCACACATTATAAAATTAAACACTGATTTGAAAATATCCATATACTTTTCTAATTATCACTTCAGGATGACACTGTGTAAGTATATTCTGCATTAAGCTACAGTGAAACCAAGTAGGAAAGATACTCATGAATTAGCTATGTATCATTGTATGCAGATTATCCTCTAAAATAATGAGGTAGATATAAATTAGCTAAGGGAACAAAAATCTGAGCAATGATCTGCTATCTCCAAAGGACTCACTGGTAAAGCCTCAAATGGACAGCATGACATGCTTGGGATAGCTGAGCCCGGCCATAGTCTGCAAAAGTGGAGGAATGAGAGATTGACAGCACTGCTAAGCTGGTGGCAAATGGTGGCTCTGACTACTAGTAAAATGTGGCTGGAGTATGGTGGTGAAGAATGGTGTTGACAAAGATTGTCGTAGCATCAGAAGAGGAAAATAACCTCTCCCCTCCTTAACACAATTTAAATATTTTGGAGAGTCCACCCTCCCTCACCATATTGCTACTTCTCAATCCATTACAGCCCTCTTTTTTTGGGAGTAGGCAGGTCACTCACCCAGGCTGGAGAGCAGTGGCACAATCTCAGCTCACTGCAGCCTGCACCTCCCTGGCTCAAGCAAACTTCCCACCTCAGCCTCCTGAATATCTGGGATCACCCACAGGTGTGTGCCACCACACCCAGCTAGTTTTTTGTATTTCTTGGTAGAGACAGGGTTTTACCCTATTGCCCAGGCTGGTCTCAAACCCCTGGGCTCAAGTGATACACCTGCCTCAGTCTTCCAAAATGCTGGGATTACAGGTGTGAGCCACCTTAGAATCCCCTTTTACCCCTTGTTTTTGTTAACCACTTTTTACTTACTACCTATAAGACAATCTGCTTAACGTTACTCTAGCTTTAATTTCCTTATTTGTCCAGTGGGGATCAAAATTAAATTATTGTAAAGTTTGAAGGTAATTGTACATATAGATAGAGTGCTTAGCACAGTTCCTAGCACACAGAAAGTATTCAATATATGTAAGGCATTGTTTCTGTGTGCCAAACACTGAGCTAAACATTTTAACATGCTATATCTCATTATTTTGTTTTTCATTTTTGGGGGTTTTTTTGATACAGGGTATCTCTCTCTTGCTCAGGCTGGAGTGCAGTGGTGTGATTTTTTTGAAAGTAGTAACAGGCACTTAGGTAACCAAAGTATAGAG